CACTTGATGAGGAGACGGCGAAGGGCCTCCGGCAATGGGCGCGGCTTGGGCTGGATTGCCAATGGTATCTGACGGAGGCCAAGCTTATTGCTGCGGGCCTGAGTTCGGRTAGGTTCTTTCCCTAGTGATCTTGTCTTGCTCTTCGCTTACGTCTTACTGATGCCGAACTCCTTTTCGCAGGTACAATGGATTCTCAAGGGTCCCGAGGTGCGCACTTGTTCGAGGGGATGAAGAGGAGGAAGCGGGTGGCCAAGCGAGCGCGCGCCGAGCCATCCCGAGCTGCAGAGCCCGAGATGCCGGATTGTCCGGCTGAGGTGCCCGAGATGGTTCCTCCTATGCAGGGGCTGGCGGGGGCTCCTTATGCCGAAACCACACACACGGGGGCTCCCACCTATTCCGAGTCCGCTCATACGCGAGCTGGGCCGTCGGGCTCGGAGGCCCCGGGGGACTTCAGGAGCGTGCTATCGCCTGTGCATGCTCTTCAACGGAGTAAGGAGGCGATGTTTCCTAAGGAAGTTGCGGCGTGGACTGAGCTCCCTCTGCACCAAGTGGCCTGCCGTGCCGTTACTCATGCCATGGTGGTAAGTGATCCCTTCTTTAGAGCTCGGCTTCAATTTTTTCATTCGTTTCTCTGACCTCGTTTTCCTTTGATAGGTGAACTCCTCCATTCACGCCTTGGCGAACCAGGTGGAGAAATGTTTGCGGCAGGTGCGCGTTGCCAAGGAGGCTGCTCGGACTGCCGAGGAGAATGCTCGTGCTGCTGATGCTGGTGCTCGCCGTGCGCGGTCTAGGCAGGCGAGGTCTCAGAGGGATGCCGAGGCCATGGGGGTGGTGGTGCAGCGCATGGTGGAAATGATGCTGGACCTGGAGCACCAGGTCGAATATCTTCAGGAGGATATCAGGGAGAGGACTCAGATCTTATCTCAAGGCATCGAAGACGCGAAGAAGAAGGCTGTCAGCGATTACATTGCTTCGCCGGATTTCGATGACCTGATGGTAGACTCCTACAGGAGGGGTTTCAAGCTAAGTCGGTGGATGATCYGGAATACGTACCCCGACCTCGATACCAGCGCCATATCCACTTCGCGCATCACTCCGGAGATGGCTAATGCTGCGGATGCCGAACCAGACTCCGAGGGGGAGGCAGGGCCTTCGGGCGTTGTCGGAGAGGCTTCTGATAACAATGATGTAGCCCCGGGCTTGTGAAATGAAATGAAATGAAATGTACACATCTGTTTTGAAATGAAAAGAAATGAAATGTACACATCTGTTTTGAAATGAAAAGTCTTTTTGTTCATGTACTGGTGTCTTCGAGCTATATTTTTTGCCGAACTGACCATTTCAGTCCCTCAGTTCGTTTTACGAAATGACTTCGGCGTACTTGCTTTGGTGGCCTACAGATAGTACCTTCTCAAGTTGACAACGTTCCATGCTCGGGGTACTTGTTTCCCTTCTTGGGTTCCGAGCTCGTACGCTCCCCCACCGAGTGTTTTCATTATTCTGTAGGGTCCTTCCTAGTTCGGTCCAAGTTTCCCTACGCCGGGTTCGAGCACCATGACCTTACGGTGAACCAGGTCGCCGACGCGGAAGTTC